CTCAATTACGCAAACCACTGAACTGAGCAAAGGCACGCTCCTGCACCTTGTTGCGCTGGGAAATCGATGTAAGCTGCAAATGGACAAGTACAAGGGTCTTTTTGTTGCAGAATACCCGCATCTAAACTCACTTGCATGTGCCAGTAGTATAAGAACTTTAACTGGTGGTAGGCACCCTAGGGACTGCACCGCCCATGCTCCCAGACACCTCCGGCGATGAGACAGCAGCAGCTGCGCCGCGCACGGTCCTAGATGCTGTCTCCGAGTATGCGGCCTGCGGCTTCATCCGTCCCTATATTGTTTCGAAACCAATTTATTAATTCTCAGTTATCTCTAGAAAATTTGAAGGAATGTTATTGTGAAAATGACGTTCGTAGGGGTAGGGAAAATTTGCCTCTCCAATGTGTAGCCGCTCACCGCGAGGCCGTCGGCCGCTCATCTGCAGGAAAGCAAGTGGGATCGAAATTTTGAACTTTCCATTGGTGATTAACATAATATGGAGTACTTTGCTTCATATTATATAGAGTGCAAAGCATCTCCATTATTTGCATCTGCTGGAGTTATTGTGGGTTGTGACGGGTACGCTCTTCTGAAATGAATTTGGCACCATAGCAATTGGATTTGGCACCCTAACAGGAAGGGTGTGTCTGCATCTCGTCATCTTATTCAACACTTAGTCGTGCAAGATATAGTTGATATGTTACTTTTATATTTTCCAGCGTGATTCCATCGCTTTCCGCGCCACTGGATGCACAGAATACACAAGCAGTTCTCGATCGTACTTGAATCCTCGCGTGAGCTGCAGCGCAGTCGAAAAGGCAGTGTTCTTGCATTGCAGCAAATTGTGGTTGGCTGTGTTTCCAACTCGGATTGCCTAGCAGTAACAGTTGCAGCGAGGCTCGTTGCGACGCATGTCTAGCCGCCTCCTCTCCCGTAGACACAGGCCAGCGGACCGCTGTGCCTAGGATGCCTGATGGCTGAAGGGGAAGTTAGCTGCTTTTGGAATATTCAGCTAAAAAATCTTAGTTGGCCATCAGTAGCCAGCGTGCACGCAAGTATAAGTGCCTGTCCGCAAGAGAACGTCGGCTGTTGCACTTCATTCAAGAAATGCATTCTGAGTAGACAACCGTTGCAGTTCATTCAAAGAATACATTATGAGTAGAGTGACTACAACGAATGCCTAGATTGACTTCGTGGGTAACTGCAGTGTTCAGCCAAACATCAGTCACCAGGCCGGGGCACAGTGGCTGAAGGTGTAACGCTTGTTCTCTGGCCTTCATCTGAGCAGAGACGGGCCGCAATGAAGGCAAAGACTTAAAGCAAGAGTTTCCCAAAAGCAGCTGACCCTCTTCGCCGGTCCCTTGGCATCCTGGGAGTTGAGCTCAGGGCCTGAGTGTTGCGGGGAGGGGGCATCCAGAAATTGGTTTGCAGCGCACCGCGCTGCGGCTGGCAGTGCGAGCTAGCCCCACGCGTGCACGTAAGGAATCTTCAGGGAAGCTTCCTTTGCTGCATGCTTTGCCTCTGAAAGAACTTGTAGAACGGTTGCAAGCGCTTACACGCAGCATGCCAAAACCATCGAGAGGCTCCTGAGCTAACTCTGCGCTAACTCATGCTACAGAAGGGGCTGGAGCTGATGCAGACAGCATCGGGCCTGCTATGAACCGGAATGAAAAAACCTTGCAGCAACTTCTGTTGAAGGGAAGCAGAGGATGCACGCATAACACACAACCATCTTTGCTGAATGCAATAGCACTCGAGACAATTCTTAAACATTTATTTGGCCATCAATCCTCAGACCAACCTCACCAATATCAGAGAGACCATGATACAGGAACTAAGAGACGTTGAAAGCAGTGATACATCGCCGAGTTTTCTTCGTAAACATTTCAGCTTGATTGGCATTCAAGAATACACCTGGCTTAATTATGCCCTCCAAACAGCCAAATTCCTTTAGTTTCACAGCATAGTACTTCGACATGGCGGGACTATAACGGTTGCTCTCTAGGCTTAATCAATGACAAAAGCTGGTAAACCCAGAAGCCTAAGCCCTAAACAATAAAATATCATCCTTAACCGCTGAGACAACAACAACCAAGTCACTTCAAACCCTAAACCCTAGAGACTAAGCCTTAAACCGTAAAGTCTTGCCCTAACAATCTCCTTCAGCATGCCCCGAAAGCCAGAGGATAGGGCATCACCTTTAGTTTTATGGAGTTGATAGCCCTGAGCAGCTCCCTTCTTCTTTTGTTTCGTTATCTGAAGATTCGGCTGTACCGCGCCGCTTACCGGTCGTTTAAACTGCAGAAAGCAGGTGAATAAACAAGTAAAACATGAGGGAAAACTTACGGGAAAGTACGGAAAGAGAGGGAGAGCCGCAGCTCCTCCAGGAGTGCGTCGGGGGCCAGGGAGTGAGGGCAAGGCAGCGGGGGCAGGGCGCTGAGGAGATAGGGAGCGCACAGCGGGGACCGGCTCTGTGACGAACTTCCGCTTAAAAATGGCAGTGGTGGTAGCAGTGGGAGTATAGAAAGGCGAGCCGTTAAGCTGCTGAGAAAGCATAACCCCGACTGCGGCGTCGCTGGCATCGGTAGCCAGGAAAAGGGGTTTATCAAAATCAGGGAGCGCGAGTGCTGGGGATGATGCCAAGTGCCAGCGCAGGGAATGAGCTCGATGCGGTGCGTTGAGCGTCCAGCGGGTGTTCTGCCCCCCGGTAGACCTTTGTTAAAGAGGAATGCCGTTGCTTCTTCTATCCGGTCACCCACGACATGCCTTGGAATATGTCATGGTGAACGGATCCAACGTTGAAGTCGCTGGTCCAATTAATATGACCCGTTTTCTACGCCCATCGTTTCGCCGTTTCTTGTATCCTGTCTGCCATCCGCGAAGCGTAGCCTCAGGGACTGCGCCAATGGGTAGAAATGCAGGCTGCAACTCCTTGCTGTGGCTTCCGATATCAGATCTACTTCGCATCCCGTATCGAGTAGGGCTAGTAACTCCTGCCATTTAATGCGTACTTGCAGACGCGCTGAATTGACTCAAGGTGGATCTGCGGGTGGGGCCGTTATCTCATGTGGCCCCATCGCTACGCCGCGCGTTGCGTGGGGGCCCGGGTGCTTCCCTGACTGCTGTGTTTGTTCCCTTGGCGTCGCTGTTTGATATTTGGTCTCAGTTGTTCCCTAGCCCTTTTCATCAGCCGACGACCTCGGAATGCGTGGACCTGCTTATAGCAAGGGAAGCAAGTGCACCGTTCGGCATCTCCTTACTATGTGGGTGTTGAGTTCACTGTCTGCTGTCG